AAAAAATCTGTTAATGCTTCAGTTTTCAGTTTGGGGTGTCAAGTTGAGTGTAAGAACTGAGTTTCGTGTGAGTCCATCGTGCCTACAGTTTATTTTTAAAGTTATCTCTACTGCTAATTTATTCTCAGAAATCCTTCCACATTTTTACATAAAGTTGGGAGTACATGTGAGCACAGGAGAAAAGGTCCTATGTTTAATAACAGACAATAGGCAGAATCCAGTTATACTCACACAACAATGTGGCTATTGATCTAAAAATCTGCTTTCACTTCAAAAGGGATTGGCTAACACTAAAAAAAATACTATAGCATTCATATTAGTATGTTAAGAAATGACAATAAATGGTTAACAAATTCTAGCTGTAATTTTTTAAAGCAGAAAAATGTTTTAAAGAAAATGTTATATGAAAAACAAATTCAAAACAACCACAAGAAACGTCTTTTAGGGAGTTAGCAGCGTCCAGAGAGCTGGGCATTTTGGCTGCACATATTTATCCCAATATTTCTTTTTTCCTAATGTTCAGAACAGCCCTTGGTATGTAGTAGGTAATCTATATCTGTCAAAAATAAAATAGAATAACTGTGGGAGTAAGCGAGTGAGTAAATAAATTTGGGGGAGCCCAGGACTGTTACCAGTGAAATTGAGGTTCCTCTCAGGGATCTTAGTCTTCTTAATAAAAGAACTTCAGAACAATTCAGATTAAAAAAAAAAAAAAGCAGGGACAATTTTATCATCATTTAAAGAAAACCCACAAGGGAGTCTGGGTGTAAACCTCAGTACTGCCTGGAGAAGAGAGATAGAAAAAAGGAAGCAAAAAAGCTTGAGGTTAGGTATAGAGGTTCAGCAAGCAACCACGTGACAAACGGGAGATTCCTTGGCAGATAGAATGAAAAATCCCAAAGTACTAGAGGAAGTTAACGTAGATCCTGGCTCATATCCAAAAGAAAAAGAGGAGAAAGGAAAAGTTGGATCTTTTTGAGTCTGTAATTAGACCTAACAGAGCTTCAGAGTAACTCTAAGGCAACTGTATAGAAAACAAGGATTCTGGGAAGGAAAAGTACATGACCTCATGGATAAGGATTTAAAAAGATAATTATCCCTCCCATCTCTTTAGCATGGCATTAACTGAACCTGTCTTCTTATGGGATGTTCCTTAACTAGGTAATTTACTGGCCCTGCTGGATTAAGTCTTACATTTTGGGATATGTTGGAATATTAGGTGCTTTCCTGTCAAGCCAGAGGAAGACTCCATTTTCCTTCATGGAAACAACATTCCCTTAATGGGTCTCAGCAGAGTCCTGATTAAGGCTCCTATAACAGAACCGCTTGCTATGGAAACTTATGAGTTTCTGTGGCCTCTCCACTGCAATGAAGTTTTACTGGCTGGGTGTTACTGGAATACTTTGAACTTTGTAACAAGTAAAGATTCCCCTTTGACACTTTAAGTTGGGTATAAAATAGCTGCTGCTGAGCAAACTCATTTATAACCCCCTGCCAAAAATAATAAATAAAAGAAAAAGAAAGAAATCCTTTAGTTCACAACTTAAGCATCAGTCTGATTATAAAGCCCACCTTTATTTCCACAATTTAATCTGCTTGTCATGTCTCTCAATGACTGTGACCCATCCTCAGCCTTCACCTTGCTCCCCTAGTCAAGGACATATCATCTTCTGAACTGTTTCTTGAACATCATCATATGCCCTCAGCCTTAGAAACTTCCTCTGCATATCTGCTGACTACCTTCTCTCAATTCCTACAGGCCCCTGTTCATACTTCACTTTATCAAGCAGGCCCCTTGATGTATGCATGGAAATAAAGCCATCCTCACTCCCAACTTTTGGTATTCATCCTTTCCCTTTCCTAGTTGTATTTCAATAATGTACTTTCTTGTTTTACTTACTAATCTCCAATGCTTATAACTTATTACTTAGTAAACAAGAGCCTCCAGTAAGTGTACACTGAATGAATAAATAAACAAGTACAAAGTGACTATGTGTCACTGCAGGGGGGGGAGATAAGGTATATGAATAGGGTATGGTCCTTCAAATATCCATTTGTTTTATATAGAACCTGCGGTGGTTTGAACGAGAATGGCCATCATAGGCTCATATATTTGAACGGTTGGTCCCCAGTAGGTAGAACTGCTTGGGAAGGATTAGAAGGCATGTTGATTTGTTGGAGAAGGAGTGTCACTGAGGGTGGATGCTAGAGTTTCAAAAGCCTACACCTTTCCCAGTTAGCTCTCTTTCTCACCCTGCTTCTTTCTTGTGGAAAAGTTTGGAAGTTCTTAGCAACTGCTCCAGCACCAGGAATGCCTGCCTGCCATGTTCCCCGCCATGATGGTCATGGACTAACCCTCTGGAACTGTAAGGCCCCAATAAATATTTTCTGGTATAAGTTGCCTTGGTCATGGAGTCACTTCACAGCAACTGAAAAGCAAGTAAGACATTACCTGCACTTTCGGAACTGGTATCTGTGAAGAGGAAGAAGAAACACATAATCTGGCCTGAACATCTAGCAAACACACCCCTTTTCCTTTCTTCCTGCTTACTAATGTGTCTCTGTTTTCAGGGAACAAACGTAAAATGATTCACAGTTTGTGCAATGATGGAAAGGAAACTTTTTAGATGAAGATGACCATATTGAACAATGCAGAGCCCTGAGCAATACCATCCCCAGAACTAATGCCTGTTCTGCTTATGTTTGATTACAGGGTGGATATAAGGTAGAAGCTGGATACTTTCTCTTCTAAAGAGGCCATCATCTCTTTGGAAACTCAGGAAGAAATATAATAGTGTGGCTTCATAGCAATGCAGAAGCCACAACTGCTTCAGGACAATGCTAAGTCTGGGAAAGAAGACAGAACACACAAATAGGAGTGTGGCCAGAGCAGGGACCTTCAGCTTAAACAAGATAGGAAACTGCAGACAGGAAATTTAGGTGACATCAGACTATGAAGGACTCTAGATTTCAAACTGGACAGACTGGGCTTAGTCCTGTAATTTATGGAAAGCCACTAAAGTTTTACAATACTGGAAAAAAAATGTTGATCATACGATGAGGACAAATCTCAAAGCATCTGTAAAGACTTCTGAAAGCTGACCACTAAATAATATTAATGCACCCAGAATTATTCATTTAGAGAGACTGAGATTTGCTTGTAGGTGAGGATGAATAAACATGGTAATAAACCCTGCTCCCCACTACTGGATATACTCTGGATGAGAAGATATTGGAAGTACTGAAAAATCATAAAAATCTTAAGATAATACCAAAAACAGTCAATACACTAAGAGAAGGTAGTATGAGACTACCTACCAAAACAACCACAAAAAGAGGACCCTAATCAAAGAATCTCTAATCACAGTTCCTTTCTGTGACCACCATTACATTCTTCCTTTCAGTAAGATTCCTAGTTCTTTCTTGAATCTGAGTAAAAAAATTATGACACTATGAGTGAGTTCAAAACTGTTTAAATACCTATATGTGTATATAAAAATATACAATACTCCCTAATTACCTAAAAATAAAAAATTAATTTAAATATTACAGAGTCTTCTAAAAGTCTTTGCACAGTAGATTTCTACAACTGAACTAATTAAGGAATCAAAGTTTTAGGATACAGGAAACCCTAATTCTGTGTGTCCAGATGCTACCAAAGTACCGGCGACTTAACAACAAAATGATACTTGTATCTGCCTGGGTTGATATTTTTCTTAGAATCTACTCTTCTCACAGCACGGACATGATTTATTTAGCTTATCAAAGAGCTTTTGACAAGGTTCTCACAAGTGCCTATTATTGTGACTTGGTAACCATGGTGTGAAAGGAAAGGTCCTATCAATGAATTAAATGAATTAAAAATGCTTTAGACACAAAGAGGCCCAAAGCAGAAATGAATGGGTGATTCTCATGCGGAGAAAGGTTAATCATTAAGGGCTGTAAGTTTTACAGTAGATTCAGAATTATATTTAACTAATGATCAGGAAAGGGACACCCAACTTTCATTCCTGTACTCTGTGCAATAGTCCCACACACAAAGCCTCCACTGACAGGAAGATCGTTTGACATATGGAAGAGCTACAGCGCAGAGAAGTGTTTAAAATCTAGAGAACAAATGGGCGAAGAAATATCAATAACTTCATGGAAAGACAAAAGAAATGGAAGTGTTGCTAGCATGACTTCACTTTCTAAGAACTTCGATTCATATTACACGGTATTACGTGGGTATTTGAACAAAGCCCTAAGTCACTGGCATGACGAAAGCAACACTGAGTGACAACACCTGTGAGCATTTGGAGTCACAAAACCCACAGAGACTATTTCTATAGACTGAGGTGTTTAGAAGCAAACGATGTGAAAGTGATATGAACTGTGAATAGGAAATATTACTTTTTGATACAAAATTTAAAATTTGGTGTATGTTTTTCAAAAGTACAACCTGACATGAATGGAAATTTAGAAATCAAACACTCAATTACTATGAATCTTTTATGACTCCTTACTTAATCTGGCATTAATTCCCATCTAAGTAACACATTCACACCAATGGCCCAGAAAAATCTGTTAGTTTCATCTCCACATATTTGGTTTCCTTATCTGTGAAATGGGAACAATAGGACCTACATCACAGGATGACCACAAAGTTAAATGAGATTATAGCAGAGCATTTAACACAGTGTAAACACGATTAATGTTCAATTCTTGTTGTGCTTGTCCACAGTTTATGGTACCAAATCCAAACAATTACAGACCACAGAGAAGCAACCTTACTGAAGTCACTGTGACTTTGTTTACACCATTGTTAGGAGCTGGTATTAAATAAAACATTTAAATGCTTTCAGATTTTTTTTGACAACAACAAACAGCTTTAAGATGTCTTTTCATTGATCAATCTGGGATATGGAGAGAATTACAAACTGATATAAAGAGTGGGAGGGCATGCAAAGTGTCGGATGGGGAAACCAGATTATTTGTTTAGGTATCAGGTCCAAGCTTACCGTGAAGACAGGATTTTCACAAGTTCTTTTCTATTTTGTACCCGAAGATGGTTCGTTCTATACTTGGAATCATCAATTAATTCAGGCAAATTCAAGATCTAAAAGGAGGAAAATAAGGTATAATTTACAGGTTTTTCACACACTCTTAATCGGTTAATCGGATCATTCAGGATCTGCCTCTCCCTTCTTTTCTTGTCTTCACACTGCTCTACAAGGGGATGGAAGCAGCAACACTCAACTGAAGGGATCATACTGGTGAATGGGTCTTGTCAATTATATGAGAGTGACTACATTCATTTATATAAAACATACAGTCCTCATATGTCTTAGGGGCACAGGCCTAGCTGTTCCACATGTTAATAAAATACTATCTATCCCAATAGTCCTATTCAGGATATTGTATAAGGTGCTAAAATAAAGGGAAAGCACATTTATTTGTCCAAATCCTAGCTGTTCAAACAACATCAAATGAAAAGATCTTCTTCCTGCAGGAGGGTCACTATTTTTCTTTAGTGTGTCTTCCTCAAGGAATACTGACTAGAAATGCTGTCATATACTTCCTCTTTGGCTGCTCCTTGCTAAAAGGAAAATCTATCTTGCAAATCCCATTGGACACTGTAGTTTTAACAAGACCATAATGAAAGTACCAAGTGGATTTGGAAGGGAAAAGACATTTTGAAAGAATGTGTGGAGACAGAGTTTGGCAGTTGTGTCGGAAAGTCAGAAGGAGCATTTATGGGCTGGGGGCAAGCCAGGTGCCCTACAGAAAGCCTTACTTCCTTCATTAATGTGTTTGCTTTCAATATAAACACTTAATGGTTTCACTTGTTTCTCATAGTTTAAATAAAATCAATCCACTAATTATCTTACAAAAGAGAGAGAAGCAGAGAAGATTCCCCGGAGTCAAGAGACCATCCCAGCAGAGTAATCCTTCTTTCCAATCTGCCCCTTACTCTCCCCAAAGGCAGCATCACTGCAGGACTTTAAAAAGTGACACTGCATAAGGTGCCCTTTCTAGGAACCACAGTCACCACACCTGATCCCAGAACTGGTCTCAATGCCTGACCTGGTCACAAACCTCCTTCTAAAGAGTAACTCTTCAAGAAAAAGCCAGTTCCTCCCCTAAGTAATGGGCCAAATTTGTAAGTCAGGCTACATATAAAGCATGCTAATGACATCTACATAAAAAAGGCCCAAGGTGACTATGTTCCAGAAGGGCCTGGATGTCATGTGTCCTCTGCAGTTGACTTACTGGACTTTTTCTGTCTTTCAAACCTCATGCAAAATTGTGGGCCTAAGTAATAATACATCCAACATCAGCCCTGCTAGCTGTCTAAACGGACAACACTGAGGGCAGTGAAGGATCCATTCTGTAGGTGCTTGAACAATTGTACTCCAACTAGCATACCCATATACATGCACACACACACACTGAATAAATAAATATAAAAATGTTTTTAAAAAGAAAATTAAACGTTGGCAAATTCAGACCACTCAGTATCTGCTCTTCCAGTGCAGTACGAGGCAATTCCTTGGATAGGGATTTGTTACAAAAAGGCTGACATTCAGCCACTGCCATAAAACCCCCACTTCAGCTTTCTTTATGACATCTTTGCTTTAGTTTTGTGCCTTTTACTATTCTCTGACTTTACCTTGCCAGTCTCGTTATGCTTGAGGTGAATTTACTTGTTAGAGCATAGAAGTGTGAATTATCTTTTTTAAATAAATAATGCCCATTAAAATATCTGAAAGGAAGTCAGTCATAAAATAACACAAAAATTTGTTATTTTATGAGAAATTAAGAATGGACAGAACTGCTGTGTGGTGATTAGGAAAAGACTGGGTTGACTACTTTACATTCCTAACAGCGGTGAATAAATTACTTTTATCCTGATCATCACCAGCAGCTTATTTGTAGCAAATATTACAGATCTGCACGATATATTGTAAATATATCCACTCACCAGTCCATCCCTTGAATTCCCACCCCCTTTAACCCTATCTTCAAACTCTTATTTTTCTTATAACCCACTGAGTCCAATTAGGTTTACCATCATACTAATGGGTGTAGCATTATCCAAAGGGGAATGGACAACTCTTCAGTGGCCGTGCTTCAAAGAAAAGTTACTCTCTGGTCCCCAGTAGCTGAAAATAACTCCTCAGCTAGAGCTGGGACCTCAGGAGCCTCTTCCTTTTGCCAGAAATGTTTAACTTGCTTGATCTTGTGTAGGTCTTATGTGGGTAACCACAGCTATTCTGAGTTAGTATGTGTAAGTTAAGTCATGTCCAGAAGACAGCTTGTCACAATGTTCTTCCCCATCTTCTGGCTCTTCCATTCTTTTCCTCCCTCTTCTGTACTGTTCCCTGCCCTTTGTGGGATGACAAGCACTCACAATCATTGTCAGCACTTTGAACAGATGGAGTCTCTGCATTAATCACTACCTAATGTAATCAAAAGCTTCTCTGCCCAAGACTGAAAGCAGTGCTGCTCTATGGATATAGACATAAATATTTAAAGGTGGTGGTTTGGCAACTTGACCACTCACCAAAACAAATCAAAAGATTTCTCCTCTGAGTCTATGACTTACCTAGTAATGCTTTTTAACCATGTTTATAGTACCAAGAATGAATTCCCTCCCGTAAAGCAGGCTTCTAACCCAACCATCACTGTGTCTGGTTACCCATAAACAATCTTGCCATTAAACCCTAGTGGGTATATGTTTCCTAGGATCTTAGATTTGTAGCATTCAAAGGCCAGCACTACATAAAACACAGACCAATAATTTAAGAGCCTATTCACCTTGGATAGGTCACCCATAACAGGTCAAAAAATGATTCCACAGAAGTCTAGTTTATGAACTAGTAGGCTCACTGGAGTTACTTATAGAAGCATACAGACATATAAGGAATTACTATAAAACCATGGGTGACTCAAAGGCCTCTGTATGCTGAAAAGCCTACCCTAACATAGGCTAGTAATATATGAAGGCCATGCCCCCAGAACTGCCTACACGGTATGCAAGCAGCTCATCTGGTTAACCCAGCAATTGTTCCCATTTATATGACCTTGGGTAGAGGTCTATGAGTCTTAGAACTTTCATCAGCATCTTGAATCTTTTAAATACTAGTCACTTTCTGTGCCTTGTATGGTTTGTTCAATTCCTGAGTCTTCAAAGCCTTCTTTTCCCCTCCAAGAGGTAATGTTTCAATATAGAGGAAACTGCTACGTAACATTCAACCCCTTCCTCTATTACTTGCAGTCTTTCTGCTCCATCATCTACAGTGTTTCCTGATCCTAAAAGGGGGTAATACAGCTGTTTGACTGAGTATGGGACACTACTTCCATAGTAACTGTCACTAATTTTTAGGAACTTGACCAGTCTTTCAGTACACTACCCATTCGGGGGGAAAAGTGTTCCCTAGGACCAATTGAGATTGCTAGCTATAGTAATCTATGAACCCAAGTATAAATGTTTGCGGGGGTTATTTGACAGGCACACCACATCTATTTATCAATTAGCAGTGAACTTTCTAGCCACTGGTGTTTGGCTTTTCCTTCCAAGCAGAAAGCAGCATATTAGACCATCAAAGTCCTGTCACTACTGCACCAGTAGGTGCATCATGTTGTCACTGTGGTAAACAGGGCCATAGCTGAACAGGATTGTGGGTAGCAATTCTTCCTTAGTTGCCGACATGGTGCTTCCTGGCACTAAGGAAAGCCAGAAAGCAGGTGAGAGCTTCCAGCTCAGTCTCAACCTGATCTCCCCATGTCCCGCAGCCAAAACCATGCAGTGTCTTCAACAGCATGGACTTTTCACTTGATTGTTAGCATGTAAGCAATTGTGATAGTAAAAGCCATTATAGTTTGTAGAGACCTTTGGGGTGCCCCCTGGCCAACCATCGATAGAATAGTAATCTGCCTCTGGCACAGGGATTTTCATTCAACTTCTGGTTCTCAAGAGCGTTTTCTCCATTTTCTAAATCTATCAGAAAACCGAAGGCTATAATTACATAAATAAATTTATAAGGCAATAAGTATATAAATAAATTTAAAGTTATAAAAGGCTATAATTATATAAAAATAATTGTAAAGATGATAGCATGATCTCTGAGGGTCTACTGTTATCTATTCCAAATGTCGCATGGCCTTAGCTAAGGGAACAGGTAAAAAGAAGCATGAGAAAAGAGTCTCCTTGAGGAAACAAAGTACTCCTGCCTGCTCAGTAGTAAATGGCAAACAGAATGAACTCCGTGACATCTTTGGAGCTTCCTTATAATGTTGTGTTGGGGCTCTTCCTTTCTAAATTTTTTTATCTTATTTTTTTTTACATTTTATTTAAATATTTTTCTTCTTTTTACCCGATGGGCCCCTTGCATATATATAATGGCTTCTAGTCTAGTGGATTCCCAAGCTGTGTGACTGAGTGTGTCTCTGTTTCTTATGCATTCTCTTGGGCTCTTTTCTTTCTGTTTGTTTTACCCAATCCCATTGCATTGGCTTTTGTTTTATCTTACTATATTTTACTATTATCTCAGAGAAGCCTGTTTGTTTTCTAATGAGGAACAGAAAGATGGATCCAGATGGAATGGGAGGTAGAGAGGAGCTGGGAGGAGTAGAGGAAGGAGAAACCATAATCAGGATATATTATGTTAGAAGAAAATCTATTTTCAATAAAAGGAAAATATTAGATAAAAATAAACAGAAAAAGAGAAAAAAAATTAAACAAAATATGTATATATGAAAAATTTACTTATCATAAAAATGTTATGATATAACCTACAATAGACAATGTGAGAGGAGTGAGAGATTTTGGAACACGCAGTCCTAAATGGTATGTCTTCATAAAACTTCTCCCCTCAGGGCTCCTGGAACTATGCCGAAGAGGAGGCAGAAAGAGTAAGAGACATAGGGGATGGATGACTTCAGGAAAACTGTCTTCCAGACACTACAGGACTGATACACATATGAACTCACAGAGACAATGGCTGCATGCACAGGGCCTGCACAGCCTCGAGCTAGTTAGAGTCTCACTGCTGAGAGGGGGCACTGGACACCAGCTATCAGCCATAACCAAGAAGATATATCAAAGTTATATTT